CGAGTGCGTCACACGTCACAGGGCGTGTGCGGGCGCGTGCAAGGTCTCCCAGCCTCATCAGTCTAATCAGAAGGGGGCGCCTTTCGCTTCCATTTTCATCACTGTGAGAAACACTGTAAGGGCCACACGAAAAATTGCCATGGAGTATGTTGTAAAATTAAAATTTCAAAATGGTAAAGTTACAAGTACTGTCGCGTATCGCCTTGGAATAATTCGTAGACAAGCAAGAATGGTATGTCATAGAATTAAAAAATAGTTTGTAAATGAAAATAACAAAATACGTCGTAAATTTACGAGGACATTTTTCACGGTGATCGGGAATCGGCCATCAACACGGCGCAAGTCCTCCCCAGAGCTACCTCGTCGTGAGCAGAGGCGTCAAGTCGTACGGGAGGCACTTACTCGTTTCGAAACCACTAAATGCAGCCTGAGGTGCACACCCACACCAGAGCCCCCACCGAGAGGAGAGGTCCCCGTTGAAAAAAAATTGCGTCACGCGCTTTACGGTGGCCTCTTCCTTTTCCTTTACGGTTCACTCGGTACTTCCGGCCCGGGGGCGGCACGAGGCCTGTCCGGCCGAACTTGATGACGTTTCCCTCCACCTCCACCTGGCCCGCGGAGCGCGCGGAGTTTACGCTCCGTCCTAGGCCCTCGCCACGACCTTGACGCTCTCCCGCTCGGCTCGCGGAGGGGGCGGCCTCTGGAGCCTCATCGCGTCAGCGCTCTGGCGGCTCTGCCCCTCGGGGAGGGGGAGGGGGAGGGGAAACGCAACACGCCGACAATTTCCATATTCCGGTCGGGCCGGCCACTTCTCCGCACCGCGCGCCGACCACTGCCCCGCCCGGCCTTCCGCCCTCTTACCCTCACACCCCCGGGTCGCTCTCTTCCGTTTATATTTCAGCCTTAGCAGTCCCCCCCCCTCCCCAAGCCCTTTGTCCATTTAGGCTTGAAAATGGTCAGCTAACACGTCGGCTAACACCACTAAGCCCCCGACTCAATCACACAGACCCCCTCCTGACTGAGCTGCTGGTAGTACAATATGCCTAGGAAAGTATTTAAGCTCGAACGAGCGGTTTTTCCTGCTACATTTTAAAGAAGGCGTAACTTCTCTTTTTCAAAAAAATAAATAAAAAAAAATGACGTTTACTCGCACGCGCCCTGGACAACACCGTGCACGTCCCATTTGCCCCCCCTCGCGTCGCCATGGTGACGACCCAGCAGCCAGCCCGGACCCAACACTCCGCAACATGCGGTTATCGCCAATCAATCAATCCACGTGGGTCCCACGTCCCACTCCCGCCCCACTTCCGATGCTCGCGCCCTCCGCCCACCCCCGACTCCCCCCTTGTTATCTCTAGGCCGGAGGCATCCCCCCTCTCGGACAATGTATATAGGGAGTGTGTCTCGTATTTGTATTGGCTACGACTCGACTCGCGCGGATAAAATAGGGCACGCCGCATTTTTTTTTATTTTTTTTTTTTTTTTTTGAGGCTATTCGCCCCCCGCGCCTGTGGGCCATGAAGCTACATCGTCGCCCAGCTCGCAGACCACCTCCGCCACCGCGTCCGATGACTTCCAAATGCTATGCTTGTGCGAAGCACGGGGGTGGTATTCTTGCTTTGTGTGACAGCGGGCTGATTGCCACCCACTGTCCCTGCCCGAGCGTTCACTCGCCCACAGCTTTGGAGGACGCCCAATTGCGGGCCGCACGGGCCGACAGGAGGTAGCTCTGCCACACACAAACCTCATGAAAGATGCAGAGGTGATGCCGAACTCGGAATGCGCATGGTCAGGTCATGGTGGCCGGGCGAATGTTGAAATTTTACAGGCACTGGTCCGGGGCGCGGCTCACTCGCTTTTACGGCCGCGAGCCGTAAAGATTTTGAGAGGGCGCAAGGCAGTGGGAAAGTGGGGGATGGGGCAAGGGGGATGGGCGAGCGAGGGAGAGGGGGTTGTTGGAGGTGAGGAAGACCTGCGAGGCGCTGGTAAGCGACAATTTGGGAAACGGCAAACGCCTAGCCAGCAAAAAGGTTTGGTAATGCAGATTTAAATTCATCTTAAAGTTTGAAATTTCTTTTGCACGTTTTGTTTTACATTCTGCCAATGAAGCACTTTTTATTTTTAAATGGTCACGACAACAACCGACCAAGGTTCGGATTGGTATGGTGCTGGGGAGGTGGGGGGGGGATCCGGCGATCCCCTCTGTCAGCCGGACCCTAAATCGCGCCTTTACCGACCAAAACGTAAACGAATGGTAGTTTTGTGCGAATGGCTACACAAGTAACTCTATGAAAGGGGTCGGAAAGAAATTGGGGCCAGGGACTAGTACCGCGGAGTAAATACATAGGATTTTCATTAATTTCCAGAGTCAGCGTCCCAGAGTTAGGAGCAGCAGGAAGGGCCTCTCTGGGGTCCCACCCGGCCGTGCCACATATTGGAGTGAAGCGTTTACCGCACAATGGCGCCCTTGTTTACTCGCCGCTCCCCCGCAAGCGGCTTACAGAGTTTCCACTCTTGCGATATAAGTTTGAGATGCTGATCTCGAGTCAAACAAAGACTCGGGACGGCACGGCGTGCAGCCAGCAGCACTAAGGCGGACCGGGCCGGACGCGCCGCGCCAAGCTGGGCGCCACTACACTACACGGGAG